TTGCCATCTCTTCTTCCTGTCATCCTCCTGGAGTCTCCTCCTCTTCAGAAACCCTTCACCCCCGTGTGTTAAGAAATGTAATTAACCTTTACAGCCGGGATCTTCCAGAGGCCATTTTGTTCTTGTTACTAAACACCAACTCAACAGCAGCTCGACCCTCACAAGCTCTTTTTCTGCAGCTTCCTGAGACGAGTCCACCGCAGTGAGTCAGGCAGAATAATCAGTTATATCCAGCGTCTTCTTTATGCGCGTGAAGGGTTAAAACGACCGATGTTGAGTGATTTTTAGGGATGTTAAGGGAATACACCCCAGGCAAAAAACGATTTTGTTAATGCACTGGTCAATTTTGAGATTTTGCACTATTTTGAAAGCATCTTCTTTCAGACTCTAAGAATAAAAAACACATTTATGTGTTTATTTGACTACTTTCTTTTCTCCTAAATTCACCAAAAGTAAGCATTAGATAATACCTCAGTTGCATTTTTACACAAAACTTGTAATACAAGAAATACTTTTCTTAACGTAAGTACTAAGCTCCTCTTGTCTCCCCTTAATTCCAACCCAGAATATCGTTTGTCCATTACTTTGAACCAGTCGGTCTCTTTCCAGAGTACATACTCAGTGGTTTGTAAGTTATAGCAAAAACAAGTAATTACCTGCCTCTCAAAATACATTTTTCTGAAGGTGTGTGAGTGGGAAGATGTGTGGAGTGTGTAATTACAGGGAAAACGAAGCAGTGCATCCTGATGCATTATAAAGCAGACCTTGCTAACAACCCCCTTTGTTGTTGTTTTTTTTACGCATGAAATGATGCGCCCACCAGAGCGTGTAATTAGAAATCAATTAAACTCCATATCGCACATCCAACTAAATTGCATCCCAGTGTATCGTCTGAGCGTTCTCCCCAAAGGCTGCAGTAGTGAGAGGTTTGGAGAAGATTGCAAAAAATGTCAAGTTCATTCATAAGCAGTGAACAGGATGTGAGGAGTGTGTATTAGTGTATGTGTAAATGGTTTTAAAGTGACTGTTGTTTACAGTAATATTACAAACTAAAGTGTTTGTTACAATGCTTGTGTGACAGGAAGTTGTCATGCAGATACGCACACAATTTGTCACGTTTTTATTTTGTATCGGTTAATCAGGTGATTTTATACAGTTAGAAAAGCTCTGCATTGCACACCAGCCTTGTTTCGGCCGGTTGAACCGAACACTGGAGCGTTGACCCCCCCCCATGGTTAGATTTGTTTGGGTTGGTGTGAACGCCGGACTTGAACTCGGGTCCGGACTAAACAACCACTCTCTGGTCCGCCTTGTTGGTCTCGGACAGGTGTCATGTGAACTCTGGAGCAGTTACTTCCTGGTGTGAACACCATTCTAACTAATCACGGGAAGCATCTCATTTATGTCTCACTTCATTGGTGAAAAAACGTTTTGCTTTTCCTCTTTTGGTTAACTACTAGCCTGTTTGCTCATTTGCTGCCACTGAATGTGATACATTTACTGTTCATCAGACAACAAATGAGATAAGAATGAGCCAGCTGGTGCACCCCATGGTCCCTCCGCCTCACTCCCCAACCGGTAGGAGACTAGTTGGAGAGGTAGACCAGCTCCGTGGTCTCCTCGAGCTGTGTGGCTCATTTTCTGTTGCCAGTGCAGCATGAAAGCATGGTGGATATCCAGCTGCTAGATGAGCCACATTAAACAACTTAATCCTTCTCACACGCTCTTGTGTATCATCTTTGCATTGGTTTCGATTCAGGAACCAGACCTTTAGGTGTAAACCCGCCTTTAGACTCCAAAGATGTTGGATCCAACACTTTCCATCACACAATTTGATGGCGTCTTTATGTGTAGCAACCTAGCATCCCGAGGAACTAAATCCATATTGGGAGATCCTGTGCCCGTTACACCAAATGCAATCTGTGATTTGCAACTAAATTTCTTGTTGTGTTAATTTTGTCATGTGTCACAAATAAATAAAAAAGTCATCCTTGGGATTTATTTCTAAGCATGTGGGAGCCCTGTAGGACTCCTTAATCTATCTGCAAACAATCATCAAACAATCAACATGACGCCGCCACCGTTTTGAGACGTGTGCACACCACAAATTGCTTTTGTGAGATGGGCCCCTGTACCTTGTGATTTACGCACAACATTAGTAGTGCGTCCTTTATGTTGCACAATATTACAGATCGATGATTGTGTAGCATGTCTGATTTTCATGAGATGAGAAGAGTTCACGTTTGGTTTCTTTTCACTAACCTTGTTCCAGAGTGTCAGTTGTTTAAGCCTTTAGAAACCACACACAGATATTTTAGAAAGTACTAATCCTATAAGAATATGAATTTAAAACATTACTATTGAATATAATCCAGGGGTTTGCAGAATCATCCAGTATCTCCATTCTTTGGATTGTCCGAACGGTATACGATACCCTGTTGGGACCTTGTTCCTATTTACTCATAGGAGCATATTCTTTATTGATCAAAGGCTTTGAATGATGGTTTATGAAAAAAAGAGAAAAAAAGACAAAGAGAGATGATTATTTGAAAATATGTATTGAGTTTGCATGCCCAGAACAGAGCTCATGTTATGTTAATGTTAATGCAGGAGTTATGTGCATATGTGCGCGTGTCTGTGCAGGCATGTCCTGATATGAATAATGTGTGTGTGCGTGTTTGGTTTTATTCATTTCAACCCTCAAATTAAACAACAGCTGCCCGATAGAAATGCAAATGTGTCTGCGTTTTTATTTGACTGAGTGAGAGGGACGTCCTCGCAGGCTTCCTTCCTCGCTGCTTGAGATTTCTGCTGTAATGGTTATTTCTGAGAGCGGAGGAGAGGAGTGCTCATTCACCGGGGTTCATAATGGCCCTTCTGCAGCCATGCAGAATGGGATGGGTTTTTTGGGGATTGCTTACTCTCTCTGCCCAGACGTCCGCATTGAACACTTTTAGCCTCAAAGTTTGGCGTAGACTGGCTTCCTTCAGAAGGTGCAGATACAAAGACGCTGGATTCAGACGTGCAAAGAAACACGCACATATACACTTACATTTCATACATACTGTACATAGGTGTCATCATTAGCTCAGATCAGCTATATGTTGAAAAAAATAAATAAAGATCAAAATCAATGCAGCAGAAACTTTCGTCTTTTTCATTCTTCCTCTTTGTCAAAACCTGGTGCCTACACTACCCATGATGCAACAGCCAGCAGTTCTGTCGTGTTATGCTATATCTGTATATAAGAAGTGGACGTAGCCATTGTAACGTCACCCATTGTTTAGAGTACTGATGTTTTGAAGCCTCGAGTTCAATGATTTGGCCGTCGCCATCTTGGCTTTTTGCAACCAGTAAACAGAAGTGACCATATCTGGACTGAGGAGGAGTGACGTAGAGACGCCGTATACGTCTCTAGTAGCAACCTGTCAATCACTGTGTAGCCCCGCCCTAAAGCATCCCCTGCTTTATGGTCTGACTCTAAATGGACCATAATGTACTAAATGAACATCATGCTGTATTGAAGAAGACTTGAAACTAGAGATTGAGACCATAAACTCATGTTTACAATGTTTACTGAGGTAATAAATCAAGAGAGAAGTAGAGTCATTTTCTCATAGACTTCTATACAACCAGAGGAGTCGCCCCCTGGTGGACACTAGAGAGAATGCAGCTTTAATACACTTCCGCATTGGCTTCACCCGTCAGGACCGGAGGTTGCAGCCTGCCTGCAGCAGAGATGAGCAGATACAGAGGCCGTTGAGGCAGTTTATCAGTTTAATCTCTCGGTACTAAAAGGGGCTTTAAACACATATGGGCAACTACGCCGCATCACTAACCAAGACGTGTGAATAGAGCTTGATGTCTAAATACTTTAAATTGACTCTATGTTTTTTTCTGAATGTGGCAACGTGTAGCAACTGCATCTTGAATTTCCCTCAGTTTCCAAAGGTGTTACAGAGAAACCTGCCAGGTGTAAATAGTGAAATGAATTAGCTGCTTTGATTTCCGGTTCCCGTTATCGTGCATGTTTGGCTCACTGACACTCTCACTGGCACTCTTGAATAGAACAGAGACATCGTTGGCGTTATTACTAACACCTGTGCTTTTTTCCTGCTATGACAAAGTTAGAATGTGTGCAGAGAGAAAGACACAGCAGGAAACAACCTCTCTTTTTGAGGTATACCACAAAGTAATGTACAATGTAATGTATTATGTTGTAAAAACTACTGAAACGTTGATCCGTGTTGTAGGAGAAGAGCTAGCAAGTTAGCAAACTGACTCAGTCGCACATACCCAACGTTTTGCTAACATTAAGCTAACGTTACAGGTCAACAGTTGAATCCATGAACCTTCTCAGTGTCATTTATCTGCTCCTCAAAGTTACTGCAACAAGAGCTATTTAAAAAGGTAGACATATGTGAACAGCTGCAGGCACGATTTATAATCCATTTTGTAATGAAATGCTTTTGGTCGTATTCTGAGGGTGTCGAATATATTATATAAAACATGGATGACATTTCAACATGTCACAGGTGTAAATAATAGAGTTAAAACTAAACGGTGACACCTGAATGTAACGGAGCCTTTAATGTTATACGTAACACCTGAGCTTTTCCTTCTATGACAAGTTGTGTCAAATTAAAATGTCTGTTGTGTAAAAGGCCAAAACAAATCCAACTAACTCCTGAAATGTGTGGTGTTATTAAATGAAATTGATAGCAGACTATCATATTTCATTAAACTGGACTTATAGCAGCGTGTAGTGCTCCAGCAACAGTCCGTCATCCCTCAGTGAACTTCTTCCCAGCATGCCACTCTTCCCTCCTCACTCCTTCTCTCTTTGGTCTGTGATGCTGCCCAACACCCTGCATCACTGAGCCTCCGACACATATCCTACTGTATGACACGGGAAATACTCACTATTATCCGTTTATAGGCTACAGCACTATTGATTTCAGTCTGCCTATTCCCCCCCCCCCCCTCCCTCCCTCCCTCCCTCGCCTCCACCACACCTCCCCCTCAGCCTCTCAGCCTCTCTCGTCTTCCCTCGGACTGCAGCAGAGAAACCGCTGCATCGCAGGAGACAAGAAGCGAGAGATCTCGGCGTTATGCTTTCCATCTCTGTCGCCGTGTAGACTCGTCGCGCTCGGATACGATGCGTCTGGTCCTCTGCAGGCTGTGAGTATTTGATTTATTTTGTTAAATGTGCCAAACTGTAACTTCATCTCCCTCCGCTCTCCGCTGCACAGTGGAACATAGCAAGCATCTTTATCCGCCTTTAAGGGGGGATCATGCAAAGAGAAGATGTCGGATGCACCTGGTGGATAAAATGCTATTTTCTATCCCTAATGGCGGTACAATTATGATTAAAGTCCCTGCGCGCGTGGATGACGGAAAAGTTGGGGAACTTTCCAAGAGTTATAAGAATTATAAAAAGATCACCTAGATTTTTTTTTATCAAATGTGTATTTTTAATACAGCAAAGTTTTTTTTATGAAATTCAGCAAAGATCAAATACTACTAATAATAAAAAATAAATAAATAAAGAACCACAATTTAACAAGCAAATTAGTGACTTTCCTCTCCAGATGTCAGATGTGTGTGTTCCGTGGGGATGGTGTTGGGGGTGCCACCATCCTGACGTGCTCACTGATCGTGGAAAGATGAGTTGGCACACACGCGCGGCGGAGGCAACCCCCGGAGCTTTCCCGTCCGCGGAGCGCGCGCATGCAGGCAGAGTATATGAATCTGCAGCGAGCTGCGCATAGACGGAGAGCAGATCCATCCATTACTTCAGGTGGAATCAAAAGGGCTCGATGCAGTGTGTGTGTGTGTGTGTGTGTGTGTGTCTATAACTGTGCACGTGCCGCCGCCGCGCAGGAGATGATTGATTTCCAGGCAGCAGGACAGACCGAAATCTAATTATGGGACGCGACTTGCGTCAAACAGCCTGCGCGGTAATTGATGCTCCTTCCTGTACCGTGCGTGGTCTGTGGGCTGGTGCTCAGCCGGTGGAGCCGCTGTGTCGGCTGCAGCAGTGCATGCACCCTGCGAGTGGAACGAAGAGGAGGAAAATGTGACGGATGTGTTTTGCATAAAGCTGCCCCTCCCACCAGACAGAACGGGAAGTGTGATTGGATCAAAGGTGTTGAAATATATCCAGGTGTTTGCTGCGGGGCCACTGCTCTGAAGGTTCCTGTTGTCGGTGAATGTTTGCCTTGGGCCTGCATGTGGACCTCAGTGTTTGCTTTAGCTCAGCAGATGACAATGCAGCCATCTCTTCGTCCTGTTCAAACATGTATTATTGGATGTTATCTCTGCGTCATCTAAACACAAAAGAGGAGCTTTGGCTTGCGTGGGTCTGCACCACATGTCATGATGAGGGCCAGGGCATAATAACACTACTGTAGGTACTTTTACTCTGCCACTCATATTATCACGGTTTCACACGCGTGTCGAAGAACTACGGTGGCCTTCAAGATAAAAGTGTGAAAGGTTTTCACTGCAGCCAGTGTTTGGTTTGTCCCTTCAGGGCTACTGTAGAAACAAGGGCTCATTCTAAGCTAAGAAAAACACAACGATTGTTGGTTTCAGATGATTATACACAAATGAAAACATAGTTATGAATATGATTATTAATTTCTGCTAACAGATCCCATGAAATGCTACACACTGGCCCTTTAAGATGAAAGTTTGCTTCGCTTTCTGTCTCAATAGACGGACAGACAGACCTATGGCAGTTGTTTTCTTCTGTTTACACTCTTTATGCTAAGCTAAGCTAACAGGCTGCTGACTGTTGCTTCATAATCACAACAGACATGAGAATTATGACATTCAGACATGAACTATTCCTTTAATTCTGGGGGGGGGGGGGGGG